AAAAAAAAAAAAAAAAAAAGAACAAACCAAAAAAAAAAAAAGAAAAAGAAAAAAGAAAGAAAGAAAAAAGAAAATTATCATCGAACGTTCTTCATGACTGTATCAATTCTTTCCTTTTTCTCCTTTTTCTTTTCTTCTTTTTTCTTTTTTTTCAACTTTGTTTCAATAACAAATTTAACGAAGAATTATTAAATATACACATAGTCCGAATAAATTGATTGTTGAAATTAAAAACGAATGAAATGTTTTTTTTCTTTTTCTTTTTCTTTTTTTTTTTTTTTTTTAATTCAACATCGATTGTTCGTTGACAATACAAAAAAAAAATTCACAATAAACCATTAACAATCTGACATTGTTATTAATTTTATTACGCGATATTTACATTATAACAATTGATACACAGAGGATACATATACACACACATATATATATATATATATATATATATGTATGCATATATGTATTTGACAATGTGTAATGTCCCCCTTTTAATAAAGTCGATATCCTTATTAATGATATTGTCCATTGGTAGTTAGAAGAAAAAGGAATATATTCGGTTTATAAATGGTTACAAGGTTCAAATGTACGACGACCCGATGACGCTATATCTTTACATTACCATTCCTTTGTTATCTCGTTTATGCTTGAACCATCATTATCACGGAGCAAGCTGAGCCGATAACAACTCTACTACTCAAGGCATTAATGTTGAGAAAGTGCTGCCACTTAAAGTGCCGTTACTTGTACATACGTCCGTTAGTCTACTACGGAGCTCCAATCCTGCTTGCCAACGTGCTCTCATCTTTTAGTACGTATTTAACATTAGAATGCATTATAACATAATTACGTATAATAATATTATTACAATAATATAATTATATTGATATTGTATAACGCTAATGCAGCGTAACGTTTACAAATTTTATTTCATTAATTATCATGTAATTAATATTTTTTAACACAATATATACGATCTTATATATGTATATGTGTATGTATATATATGTATGATATGCTCGTGTTATATATGTCGGATTGGCTAATAAGTGATATTGAAATTTATCGATATAAAATGAGAAAAGAAAAAAAAAAAGAACACGAGAAAAGAAATAGTATTAGCATTGTACATTCAGATGTAAGTATTTAATTAAAAAGTGTTTCAGGGGAAAAAAAAAAGAAATAAAAAGAAAATACTGTGTATTGTTTAATTTGTTTGATATATATATATATATATATATATATATATATATATATATGTTTCGAATTTTATTTGTTCTTTTTCTTTTTCTTTTTTTCTTCTTTTTTAATATATAACAATTAAAGCTTGCAATGATAAATATTAATTGTTTTATTTATACATTTAGATATGTATGTATATTTTATATTTATTAAAATACAAAATATGTAATGATATCTATTATTGATATATATATATATATATATTTCTTTTTGTTTTTCAATTGTAAAAAGAAAAGAAAATTAGTGTTATTTATTTAAATGTTAATCATAAAAAATCTCGAGATTATTTATTGTGCCAATCCGAGCAGATAAAAGAAGCTGATATATATTTTCATGTGAAACCACATTAGATTTTTGTATTTGAAGTGTGAATTTAAAAAAAAAAAGAAAAAAGAAAAAGGAAAAAGAAAGAAAAAAAGGAAGAAATAAAAGATATTAAAGTAAAATAAAATAAAATTAAATATAGTGAATTATCAACGATAATATCTTACGCAACATGTGATTCGTTTAATCATTTCTGTACGATATAATTCAAAAGGGATGTTTAAAGCTCATGACTGTCGTCGTACAAACGTTTTATCAAAAATTATAGTCACTCGTATTTTTCATAATTCAATATATCCATTTTTTTCTTTCCCCGCGCCCTCCCCCTTCCCAGCTTTCACTGAAATTCATTCAAATATTATACATAAATAGTATAACTTTTTTTTTTGTATATTTTAATACTGATAGATACGTGAACGAAAGAAATACATTTTCGTTTATACAGGATGAATCAAAAGTTCTTAGTTTCTCGTTTCTTAATGTTGATTGTTTCAAAATTGTAAAAATAAAGGACTAACTTGTAAATATACAAATCTAATTACTTTAAAGCTAAAAGTGTTTATAGGAAAAAAAAAAAAAAAAAAAAACAAAAACTGTCTTTGATTGATAATTAAAATCACTTAGAGAATTCTTATAGATCTTTTACTTTATTTTATTTTATTTTATTTTTTTAATAACGACTTTATTTCTTCGAGAAAAATTTTTAATTGAAATAATTTCGACGATACGACCATTAATTCGTCGATGATTTGATTATCGTACATATTGGATATGTTTTATTTCACGTTTAATAATATGTTATTATGTTTTTGAAATATAATTAAAGATAATTCAAATGGTATGTTTGAACAATTTCTTTCTTTTCTTTCTTTTTTCTTTTTCTTTTTTTTTTTTTTTCTTTTGTTTTTTAAACTCGCCGCTGCTCTCCCACATATAACATTTTCGTTTTACTTATTTCTATCTTTTCTTTATATAAAAGAGATCAATGAATGAATGAGATTATATTTACAATTCAGGATAAATATATGCTTAATAATTTATTTTAACAATTGTTAATTCTAAAAGTTATATATCCATTAAATTTGTTAAAATATTATTTTAGTTCTTTTTTTTTTAAATCTTGAATAATCGACATATGCATATACATAAATATATCCATGTATAAAATGCATATATATATATATATATATATATATATATATATGCAATAATTTATTTTAACAATTGTTAATTCTAAAATTTATTTATATGTTAATTGTTAAAATATTATTATTATTATTACTTTTTTTAAATCTTAAATAATCAACATGCACATACATAAATATATCAATATACAAAAAGATACATATATACATATATATATATATATATATATAATCTACAGAAAGAGATACTACCACGTACATATGTATAAGGAGAGCCGGTCGCGAATCGATGCTCTTGTGAAAACATGTTTGACCGCATAATTATTGTGACTGTCTTATTTTAACTGTGAGACGTTCTGTTCATTCGATTCGTGGTGCCGGTTTTCAGTCGAATTCTGCCGAAGAACATCGTGCCCATCGTGAAGAGAGAGTATGGATGCGATGAAGACCGGCTGGTTCAGCGAGATAAACGACTTCTGGCCTGGTGTATCACTGTCCCTCGAACTTGAAGACACGTTACATCGAGAAAAATCAAAATACCAGGACGTTTTAGTGGTGCAAACGTTAGTGTAAAAATTCTTATTTTTTTTTTTTAGGTGGGTGGGGGGTAGATAAGGTGGAGACTGTAGGAAGAGCAAACGTTTGGGTTCGGAGAAACGGGGGAGGGGAGCGGGGAACGTGAGGTTAAAGGTGAAGGAAACGAGCAAGATAGGATAGGCGAGCTATAGGGTAGAAAAGGCAGGCAAAAAAAAGTAACGGAGTACAATTATACTCCAAGAGTCAAATTTTGATCGATAACGATTATTAAGTATTATTGACTCTTTGTTTACGAAATATATATATAATACATATAGTGATATATTTTGTAATCTCGTGACATATGTTATTAATATTTACATTTGCGATATTTAATACATATATACGTATTTTTTTTTTTTTTTAATTTCGTGGCATACATTATTTAACATTAACAATTAGAAAATTTAAAAATCCTTTTATTTTCACGTTTACACTCTAATTCATTGTATTTATATCTGAAGAAAAAGAGAAAGAAAGAAAAAAAAAAAAAAAAAAAAAAGAAACAAAAGGAAATTAATAATCATGACTCGTATTTTGCTCGCCCGTTCAAAAACAGAGAAATATATTTTTCACTGGTTGTTTTGATCGGACGACAATTTGTTTTTTTTTGTTTTGTTTTTCTTTCATTTTTCTACTCTTTCTTTTTTTTTTTTTTTTTTTTTTTTTTTTTTTTTTAATTTTTACATAGAAAAACCTATGGGAAAGCATTGATACTCGATGGTATTATCCAGTGTACGGAAAAGGATGAATTCGCTTATCAGGAGATGATAGCGTTTTTGCCATTATGCAGTCATCCTAATCCAAAGAATGTGAGTTTTTTTCTTGCTTTTCTTTTTTTTGACTCTCAAATATTTCGTAATAAGTTTATTAAATAATTTTGATACGAGCACACATGCATACATATATATATATATATATATATATATATATATATATATATATATATATATATATATAGATGCTCAAAAAGCATGAGACCAAATTTATAATATACATTACTGAGATCAAATGAATGAAAAAAAGAAGTTTATATAAACCTACGTCTGAAAATGCTTTATTGAAAATATATATATTTATATATATGTATATATATATATATATATATATATATATATATATATATGCTTTTAAAGTTATTTATGATTGATCGATTGATTTATTTCTTTTTGTTTTTATTCAACGAACTAACAAACTAATCGTTTGAATAGGTTTTAATAGTAGGTGGTGGTGACGGTGGAGTGGCACGTGAGGTTGCAAAACATCCTAACGTTGAAAGAATCGTACAAGTTGAGATCGATTCGACGGTACTTGAAGTATCGAAAAAATATTTGCCATTTATGGGGGTTGGCCTGGATAATCCAAAGGTCACGTTAAACGTCGGTGACGGATTCGAATTTATGAAGCAACATACGAAAGAATTCGACGTTATCATTACGGATAGCAGCGATCCAATTGGTATACTAAAGTTATATGTGCTATAAATATAGATTCTGTTTTTCTTTTTTTTTCTTTTTTTTTTTTACTTTTATATATTTTTATTCAAATTGCATAATGTCCAGGTCCCGCGGAGTGTCTCTTTCAAGAATCGTATTTCAATTTAATGAAGACAGCATTGAAACCCGGTGGTATTGTTTGTAGTCAAGCTGGTACAGCATGGATGAATTTGGATCATGTAGTTAAAACTTTTCAACATTGTAAATCTTCCTTTGTTGT